GTCCAAGTCTGGTCATTCTCCATGGAATCATTCCATCAGACATTCCATTTATTCCAAATAGAGTCTCAATGCTCAACGTCATTGGAAAATGGCTCTTCGGATATAATAGATGGCCAGAATGAATCCGCATGGAATTACCATTGGAGCTTTTCAGCAAAACAACCCTCAAGCTTCCAGTATGAAAATGCCACTATAATCCTGGGCCGTAAAACTAATCTCTCACAAATTTGGAGTTTTGATACAAAAGCAAACAAAATTTGGTTATCAACCTGTCTCTTATACACATCTAGATGTGTATAAGAGACAGGCACTAGTCCTTGCTGCATGGCAAATAACAGAGATCAATATGATACACCCTCTCCTTAAAGCGAGATCTCCGAAGAGATGTTTTCTATATAAATAAGCCATGATATGATAAAGATAAACTCTAACACGTCTTAAATTAATGCTAGATATATGTATTTTAAACGTTAAAGAAAATGTAAGTGTCTTTTTAAGAGAACCCGGTATCTTATGGTACGGTATTTGTTGTAGCCTGAACTACCTCTATAAAATGTTATAAAAGAACCTAATTTCCTTGTATTGTTTTGTAAGAAAATTATTCAGCAACACAATATAAATATGTTAATCAGAGTATCAGAAAGACCAAAGCACTAAGCTAAAGAGAATGCATTGCCTTAATTTCGACGGTTCGCAAACGGCGGAAATGCAGGGAATTTATAGAGGCTGTTATCAAATTAATTTAGGTCGTATCCGTAGAGTATCCATCATTGTGTGTGATATAATTTATGATAATGTACCGTCACTGACTTTAGAACGACTGGATTAATCAAAATGACGAGTTTGCGCTGTGTTCGTAAGTTGACTGGATATCCAAATACGTCCTGATTCAAGACAATTAGTTCAATTATGGAGGTATAATAATGTAGTGCTAAAATGTATAATCTGATGATCCAGTAATATTCTTTTTCATGTGATCTTTATCAACGGGCGTCTTCAATTATGCGTACTTAGGCCCAATGCACCTTTTACTTGATGAATACCGAGGACACTCAGGCACACATCTGGTTTGTTCAACGAAAGGGTTTGTACACTTATGGAATACAGTATTATTGTAATTCATCATTATATTGTCTGAATAGTCCTAACATCCAACTAGGCTTTTACCTGGAAATGAAGGGGTGCTTTACAAAATATTGTTCAAATAGATAGGTAAATAAATACATAGACTATGATCATAGAATAGAAAATTTACCAACAGCATTAATGCAAATACGTTAACTATGTGAATGATTGTAATAATGTTTCATGTTGAGCTTTAGCCGAACCACGAGCTAGAGTCGACTGTAGGCCTATTATTTAAAATTTAATTTAGGCCTACTATTTTAATAATAATTTAAAGTTTTAGTTTATTACAGTATGTTTTCTCACAATGTTATTACAATGATTAGTTACATAATTCAACTGGCCGTGAAATCTTTATTTTATATTTTTATTTCAAACGCACCCAATAGCGGGAAGCCCGCCAATTACAAAATGGAATACACATTATAACGAGTTCCCACACTCTATTACCTGTAGAAGACAATGTAGTGACGTAATGGGCCGTGGGTTACAAAGTGCAGGGGCAGGGGAGGGGGCATCTATTTCAGTCAATTAAATATTCGATTATCAAGTGTCAAGACAGTGATTGAGGGAACGGTATTTGAGTGAGCTGAAAGACTGCATTGTAAGTAGAAACCCAGCAAACACAAAAACGTTCTTATAACGTTCGCGAACGTTGTGGTTAGGTATGTCACAATATAACGTTCGCACAACGTTGTAAGAACGTTCAAACGTTGTGAGGTTGTGAAATTAGGTTATAAGTATACGTACATATGGTTCTACAAAATTAGTAACGTTCTCATCTGTTACCAAACTGTAACGTTATTTTAACGTTCTTAGAGCGTAATATTGTTAGCTGGGAAGGTTTCCATTGTATTTATCTTATTAATTTTAGGTATGGTAATGCACGAGGCTGATTAGTTTCTATTCCAGTGATGAGAGCCGCTCATGCTTTCCATGTGGCTGTGCTCATATTACTACTAGACATAGATTTTGCCTTCATTGATGGAAAATGCTTATTTGCTGGTAAGTTATATCTACCCTCAATTCCTTTTATCATCATGAGAAAATACTTTGTATAGAGCTGTAATTTGGCCAATGCTCCTGCAATTGGAGTTCCTGGAATTGGATAGAGGTAGAGGCGATTGGTGTGGTAAGCAGCTGGTGGTAAGTGTTGGTGATGATCACCATATGATGATAAGGACGGTAATGATAATGATGATGATGATGATGATGATGATGATGATGATGATGATGATGATGATGATAATGTTGATGACAATGATGATGGTAATGATAATGATGACATGATGGCGGTGTTGGTGTTAGTGGTGGTGGTGGTATGGGGACAAAGACAATGATGATGATGATGATGATGATGATGATGATAAAGATGATAATAATGATGATATAAATGACGCTTTTTATAATAATTTGATGATGGTAATTCTTGAGCAGCTTCAGATCGACTATTCACTTCCAAATTAATGAGACGTACCGGTGTTAGTTTAAGAATAATCTAGTGTAGTGAAGAATCTAGTTGGTGATTACATGGACCTTGCCACAAGTCTCTAATTATTTATTTTCATTTAATTTAATTTTGGAGAGCGCCAACATAAAATAACTGTTAACAGACAAGTACTTTACTTTTATAGAATTCAAGATTGTGGAAGAAGTAGAAAGAGCAGAAAACCCTCCTGTCTTAACCAGCACGGGTCACTGCGTCTCGAAAGAAGGAGTCGCTTGGATATTTGGAGGAATCCAGTACTACAGTGTCAATCACCACAGCGACATATCTGATCAGTTGTGGAGCTATGAAACTCAATTGCATAGTTGGCGAATCCATCAGAAGAAGTTGGGCTCAGACCAATGGCCTTCGCCAAGACATAGCTCAATCCTTTGTTGTGGAGAGGATTACCTCATTCTCTATGGAGGTCAAACGCTTGATTCTACATCCCTTAAAGATCTTTGGATTTTTGACAAAGCCGGTGGGATGTGGACTAACCCGACTGAAGTCAGCACGTCAACATCCTACATATGGAATGAACACTTAAGGTTGTTGAATTCAAGATCAACGGTGTCTTGGTGTTGGAATGATTCACTGTGGTACATCAATAACATAAATGATAATAAGACGAACCGGACACATGGGCAATTCCAGGTGGTCAGTTTTACACTTGCTAAAATGCAATGGGAATTACAAAATATTACAAATTCTGGAGATAAAAGAAAAACTCTTCTGGGTTCCTATGTGAAATGGAGTGATGCCAGCTCTATTGTGCTTGGATCCACCATCTGGTTCTTTCCTCTCGGATCTACTCCAGTTCCACAAGATGAAGTCCAAGTCTGGTCATTCTCCATGGAATCATTCCATCAGACATTCCATTTATTCCAAATAGAGTCTCAATGCTCAACGTCATTGGAAAATGGCTCTTCGGATATAATAGATGGCCAGAATGAATCCGCATGGAATTACCATTGGAGCTTTTCAGCAAAACAACCCTCAAGCTTCCAGTATGAAAATGCCACTATAATCCTGGGCCGTAAAACTAATCTCTCACAAATTTGGAGTTTTGATACAAAAGCAAACAAAATTTGGTTATCAACTTCGTGTAATAGCATACTTTCGTATGGAAGATCAGCCGACCCGTGCGTTTTAGAAAACAGTTCCCATTGGTTTTATGACGACATGTGGTATTCGCACGGTGGTATTTTGCAATGCGAAAACAATCGTCAATTTTATATTGACAACTTGTGTACAGTTGAATCTTCTTTTATGGCCGTATGCAATGAAACAAATGTACTATCAGCCGGAGTATTATTCATGTTGATATTGTTTAGCTTATCATCAATAGCTATTTTTATTCTTTGTTGTATAGTATTAAGGAAATGTGTAAACGGACCATACTTAAAACCACCGGTGCATTATGGTAAAGCAATAAGGTACTCTCAACTTGCACTTGATGAAATAACATAAGATATAAAAAACATAAATCAATAAAACTTTTCAGAGTGTCAAACTTAAAAACTGATAAATTAGAACAGAAACGGAAATACACACATGTCCCACAAACACGCGTTTGCGTACGATGAAGCTTTGTGAAACGAGGGGTGGGGGGTTTGGCGGAAAGGTTCATTGATTTATTTAGGTTAATAGATGTTTTCATTTTAATCTCTCTTACATATATAAAACTCAGGCAATTCTTTTAAATATTTTGGTATAATTTTTTTTTTAATGTCTCCATTATAAATAATAATCTAAACTTTTTAACATTTTGCAATTTACTGTCGTGATCGTGAAACATTTCATGCAATTAAATGAATTATAGTGTCTTCCAAGTATATTCCAAAGGAAGAATATCTTTTTACAGGATGAAATGATAGTTTATTTATAAATAATGAATACAACGTCAATTAGTATACGAATCCTTAGTAGTTTCTTTTTGGACAGCGCCAAGAGTGTTTGTATACTTCGAAGGATTGCTTGATTTTTTGCGCCAAAAATATAATGGTAAAAAATTAACATATCTCTACAATCTATTAGATTGTTACTTTATAACCTTACTCATTATACACTATTATATTAATATACTTTATGTATTTATATGTAATATATAGTAAATTAACTCTTATTTATACATATTATACTTGGCCAAATAGTGACTAATTGGAAATTGGTTTTATAACAGAATCAGATGTCTCTACAATCTATTAGTAGATTGTTACTTTATAACGTTACTCATTATACACTATTATATCAATATACTTTATGTGTATATATATGTAATATATAGTAAATTAACTCTTATTTATACATATTATACTTGGCCAAATAGTGACTAATTGGAAATTGGTTTTATAACAGAATCAGATGTCAGTGTACATGTTGCTGTATCAGGTTTTCATCATTAATTTTTTTGTCAAAAGTGTATATTCTCAAGTATTAATTTTAAGTTATGAAAATAAATGTAGATAGTCATAAACATGCACTAAATCTTGTATACAATGACGTCACAAGAGCCCGATTGTCAAATAGAATGCGTTGAATTTCAAAGTTCGACTGCACTTACTAATTATCTTACGGTGTGCAATATTCTATACCTACAGTATTTACGAATTTTGAAAGAATTTATTACTGCAAGAGGCCTATCTCGAGCCGTTTTAGCTGTAAATAACGTAGGCATACCTTATTATTTAAAATAATGAATTTGTAGTTCTTTATAAATTTACATAATATAAGAAAAGGAGACACAAGGTAACTGATAACTTAAACTTAAAACTTTTTTCTTTGATGGTTTCCTCTTTGATACTATTTTTTGTCAAATTTTATAAATAAATAAATACAACTATAAACGTATATAATAATTAATCAACTTCACATTTCATATCTGATTTCCCTTTGTCTCTAGTTTCAAAATGTTCCAATAAAAGACACATATTATAATATATACTTGAATATATTAAGAACAATGTATTGTTACAAATAGGTCAATAGTTATTTTTACAAGAGAGGTTTACGATAGATGTCTAATGATATTTCTTGTATCACATTACTGCTAAGTCAATATAATGTACGATTACATTACTGATAGAGTATATTTGAAAAGAGCGAAATTCAATAAATTTAATTAGTATTAGAATTTAAAAAATGGAATATGTGTTTTAAGTTGGGGTTACGTGTGTAGGTTCATTTGTGCGTGTGTGTCGGAACAAGTGTCGTGTTGGGGTCTATGTTGACTCGCAAGAGAGGTTAGAACTCGAATTATACTCAGTAGACTTTATGCAGTTCCTTGTAATGTTTTATTGTATATCACAATTAATCAAATATACAAAATGTGCTGACTCTATAATGTAAACATAAAAAGTTTACTCTCTATCTTTCTATGTCTATCTCTGTCTCTTTGTCTGTCTCCTTCTCTTTATCTGTGTCCTTATCTGTCTCCTTTACGTGTCCTCCTCTACGTGTCCCTCTCTCTCAAATTTACTAATTGCTTATTATTGGATTGGTAGATGTGTATAAGAGACAGTATATATATGGGACCAAAGGGGAGGAGCTACATAGATTCCAAGAAGATGGTTAATGACACATCATTGACTCATCAACTACCTGGGTGAATAACCTTAGTTACTTCCTGAAGTTGACCATAGAAATTATACATGACACAAGAGATGGAGGGGTGAGTATCGAGAAAGCGATCCTTTGAATTTTAAATTTTTCTTATTTCTTTTCGTTATTCTTTCCATATTTTCTTAACTGAATAATAAATAATGTCGTTTTTAAATATTAAAAAAAGTATGTTAATAAACGTTCCCGGAATTTTCATAAAATCTCCCCTTCTTGTCTTTGAGAATCAGTGTACAACATATCATTTATTTTCCTCTGGAGTCTGGATTGTTGGGATTCGGGGAATCGTCACAGATATTTTGGACTTTCGAATTATGCCACTGAGGCTAGATCCATTCTAAATTCGGACTTCGTTCTCCAACAACACCATCAATAACACAAAATCCAACACCACCACCACAAACAACACAAAAACCACCACAACAGCAGCACCAAACCAACATCATCACCGGCAACACAAGCACCACCAACACCCTAAAACCACCAATACCAACGACACTAAAAATACCACAACACAAAATACCACCACCAAAAACCAACATCGCCACCAAAACACCAGCAACAAAACACTAACAAGCACCAACACCAAGAAAACATAATTACATGACAACATGAATACCACTCCCTACACCACCACTACTAACGTTTCACACACCACTTAACACCATCGCTAAAAACACCACAACAATCATTAATGTTGGTTGCTACCTGTAGGCCTTACAGGAGTCCCTATTCCGCTACTCGCGGAAGTCTTCCGGAAATCGGGACGGCTTCCCCACTCCCGAAAGCAAACTAGAGTCTCTTGGAAAATAACCCATCTCCACAAATTTATAAATTTGCATGTTCACTGCTCTTGCATGTGCACAGCTCCTCGATGATGATGATGATGATAATAATAATAATAATAATAATAATATAATAATAATAATAATAATTACCAATTGTGACTTATAATATAGTGCATATTTCATGGACTGCGTCTATGTCAACTAAAGAAAATTGGTTGCCAATCTTTTGCATTGGGTCGAGAGCAGATTTTCAAAAAAACATTAACATATCGATTGTCAATTTATATGTCGTAATTTTCTGTACACAGTTGATGTAAAGTCAAACAGATCTGACGACCTGAAAACAGTATTTTTGGTCAACTCTTTGGAAAAATATTTTATTATATGCCCACAATAATTACCTATCTTACCTCAACATAATTGTGTAAATCTAAACGTTTAAAAATAAGTATTGACATAAACTTAAAACATAAACTTATCTATACACTAAAGGAAACTATCATACAGTACTTAAGGTTATATTAATGCACTCAAAAAATTCCTTCTGGCCTTGGAGGCCCTCAGGAATTCTTTTCATGCATTAATCTAACCTTCGTATGAATAATTTCCACTAATGTAGGATACAC